CAAGAGAGAGGCCTCAGGAAGTGGGAGTATGCTTGGTTCGTGAGCGGGGGTAGAGGAGGGGTGAGGGAGGATGCTGATTAAAATAATAAACAGCTGCTGGAAATAGAAGGATTACAGCACATCTACCCTGATGCAATGGTGAACCAGCAGAAAGCAGCAGTTTCTAATCAGCATGGACACTAAGGTTATCTGACAATGATGGAAGTGATGTGCGGGCAGACACACTGGAAACAGAGCTTCCCTGGGTCATTCCTGCGAATGTCAGCTTCAGCTTTCACTGCAGCAGCACGTGCCTGTGGGCACCTGGACCGCGATTCTCATCCAGCTCCTGAGTGATACATCGCCTTCTTCTCGGTCTCAAGCGTTCACTTCTGTTGGAGTTACACACTTTGGAGTGTTAGCTTATTTTTCGTTTTTTTTTCCCCCTGAAGGACTTCTTCATGGGATACTGTTTTCTTTCTGTGAATGCTGAGTGAACTTGAACCATGTGCTCTTCGTCCCCCACTCCCCCACCCCCCCTCCCCAAACTCTGTTGCCTGGACAGAGGTCTTTTTGTACATGTAATTGAGAACAAACGCTGGAGCTGAGGCCCAGGAGTAAATATTTTGCGAGCGCTTGAATCTGCAGGTCATTAGAGAGGTGAAGGAGACAGGATCCTGAGCTTGCTGACGGTACAGAGAGCAAGATGTCACCGGGTTAACCGCACACCAGCTCTTGGCTCAAGGACTTTTCTTCAACTTGTAGCATTTTGGGAAGCTGTTGTACAAAAATGAAAAGATGCTGTTACTATGCAGCCGGGTCAGGCGAAAACACAACTGTGGTGCTGATGGAAGATGTCTGCTCTGGACACGAGGGAGGACATGCTTTAAAGTGCAGAACACTTGGCCGAGAATGGAGCATCTCTAACTCAAAGATGTAGTCTGTAGAGGAGTCCAGTCCCCAACAATGATTGGCTTGCACTTCAGCTTGCAGGAGTTGCTAAGGAAATTTGAACAGGTATATTTGAATGAAGAGAAACTCCCGTTTTTAACTACATTTTTGCCTATAGTAAGAATTGCAGACAACTAAATATAACTCTGCTGTTACTTTAAAGTGGACAGAATGAATTTAGAGTTTGTTTTGAAACATATTAAGCAATATTATATTGAAATAAAAAGTGGTTTAGATTTGTGGCTTTGTTCAACTCCATTGTAGATGCAGATTGTCACATGCAAAAAGGTCAGCTCTCTTGTTTGTATTGTGCACTATTTATATTTTTAAGATCCTTATTCTTATAATTTTGAAATGCCACTTTTAAGGTAAAACTAATGTATGGCAGTGGTGTTATTATAAATAAAAAAAAACTTGAAATCATGAAATAGATCAAAATTGTATTACTATTATTGTAAAATGCATTAAATTGCCTTTTGCAGTATGTTTATATTGTGCTAGATTAACTCCTTCACTGCTCATATTGTTTTAATTCCTAAAGCATGTGATGTAAGGCAGACTACATTACGATAAATGCTTACTGCTGTGCTCCTGATGGAACTAAGATTTTTTTTAAATAAGAATTTTTGAAAAATGAGTATTTTCAGCTGCCCCGTTGGTATGTGATTATATATGCTGTACATATTTAAATTTGCTGTAAAATAACAGACTAAATTTAAGAGAAAGTCAAGTAGTTTTTGAGGTTTCTTGATGTGAGTATGAATGATAGGAGAAGAGCTTGCAGCAGTGAGGCAGCATGGTGTTACATGAGGTCTGTCAGAACTTCCATAATTATAACATCTTTAAAAGTTTGTTTTTTGTTTTCTTCTTCCTTACTGATGATTTTGAATTATTCACAGTAGTGCTGCTCTGGAGGTCTCAGAACTCTTATCTGCATTACTACACTTGTCACCAAGAATGTTTTACGTCAACTTCCCATTTCTTTTTGTGATTGAAATGGAGAAATAATTTGAGAGGAAAATTTCCCACGCATATCTTTAAAATCTTAAAATTATAAAGCCTTGCTTATTACTTTAAAATTTAATGTCACTAGACAGTTCTATTCTTGGAAAAGTGGAAAGTTGTGTACTACTGGAAAGAGTTCCCCTGTTTTCTCCAGATGTACTATATTTGCTCTCTTAGTTTTATTTGCTGGTGTCATTGCATCTGAACATATGTCCATACTTACTGCAGTATTTCATCCTATCTTGGTTTTATAATCCTGAAATAATACTTTGAAACTGTACATATTTGCTTAATTTAAAATTAATCCCATTTTAAAGATTTTTTCCTTACTCGAATTGTGCTGTTTTTTCCTTAATGTGAATTTTAGAAAGATGTCTGAGGATACCTAGAAAAACAGTGTCCTTCTGCCAGAAGAGACTGCAGAAATATATTTCTTCCCTAAAGTTTTACAGAAATAGCATTTGCACAAAAAGATTGTTAAAACAAGGTTCTGGGGTCTGTTGTTGTACTCATTTGAAAAAGGTACAAACCTCTCTTCATTGCTTACAAACCTTAAGCTTGTTCTTTTAAGGTTAAGAAACATACTAATGCAAAATGTCCGATTGTTTTTTCAGCTCAGTATTGTCTAGGTCTTCCTGGGCAAGGGATAATATCCACTCTAATTTACAAGCCAAATAATGAATGAATGTAGCTACTTTTGTATTCTATAAAAAGTGTTTTTTTGCTATGTCCCATATATCCTTGTAATTATGGGTTTTCATTTATATTTTATATCTGATGAGCATGAAAAAAGATGGCTTTAAATGCTATAGATTCAGATTTAAGATTTCTTAGCAGCACCGTGTATTTTTCTTATGTAAAAACAGTATGTATTCTATGGAGGAAGGTCATGCAATATTTCTATAATTGTAGATAAAATAAGAATGAAAAGGCATTGTTGAAAGTATACTCTAAGTTAAAAACTTGGTTTCTGTAAATATTGTATCTCTTATAAATGGTAGTACTTTTGTAGTAATAGGAGTAGTACTGAGTTACTGTATGTACTTTATCTGCACTGAGAAGCATAAAACAGTAAATGACAGTACTTTAGTGTATATTTTATCAATAAACATTAGATTAGGGACAATGTACTTTGTTTGTTATTAATTTAGTTTTGTTTTATTTCACTATAGCAGCAGGAATACAGCTTCTCACAGTAGCAGATGTGGCTGAATAACTTGAACCGCTCAGTAGTTAATTGCAGACACATGTTAAGCCTCCTGTAGAATTTTCCGGATAATAAATCGCAAAGGGACAATAGATGAGATTGTCAGATTCATTACTTTTAAAAAGTGCATTGGATAAAATTTTACTGTAATTCTATAAAGAGATGCAGTATAAGTCTTTCTAAAATTCTGACTGTGTTGGATTTTAAAAACATTAAAATACAGCCAAGCATAGTGCTAGAAATCGAATAGAAAACTCACTTTTTGTTGTAATTCTCTGTCGTAGTACGACAATACGACAGTTTTGTTGTAATGCGCTGCCCAGTTGAGCAAATCTTAGAAGAAGTAGACTGTTTTTTGTAAGTAAAGTGTTAAGAATTATATGACGTAATTAAAAGAATACCTACACATCTGCTAGTTTTCATTACAGTTTAGGACATGGGCTTTCCTATGAAATGATTTCTCCAGGAAGGGGTGGTGTTTAACAAAGCACTTTCTGAATGAACTGAAAGAGGCCCAATTTAATTTCCTCCCTCACACACACTCTCTGCCAGTGCCAAGTTTCTAAGGAGGGTCTGTTCTTCTGCTCTCTTTCCACTGCATGAAACTCTGCTCTCCCAACACTTTAGCCCTCAGAACGGGCCTGAGTGCTGAGTGAGTACCTTTGGAAGAACTGCTCTTGAAATGAATCCTGCTCTCTGGCTGCTCGCTGTAGCGGGGGGGAAAGGTTGCCCCTTTTTCCATGTGGAGGCTGGGTGTGTCTTCATGTGGAAACAAGTGTTTTTCCTCCATGAGTTTCTCTTCTTTGGTCTTCAATCGCACTTTGCATTTTGCATATAAACTAGCTTTGGACAACTGTGTGGGTTTTATCTGAACATAAAGATCATTTTTGTGTTCTAAAAGTTCTTTGTTCAGTTAAACTTTCTGATTATTACTAAAACCCTGTACAGTAGCTTTAAATACAGTAGGCACATAACAAATTCTTTAGCACTTATTCATTCTGTACCTCAGGGTTCGCGCATGTTTTGTCTTTCAGTTTATGTATTCACTAAAACATTTTTAATGGACCTGACAATCACAGTGACAGGTTATATATATTTTTGTCCATTTTAAGTAGTGAGCTCCTGGGAGACAGATAAGTATCACAAATTATGAACAATTTGGTACTATAAATAAACTGCTTGACAGGAGACTTTTTCCTTTCTTCTGTCAGCAGCCTTTCAGAGCTAGATTTAAATGATTTAACTAGGTCTCTTGTATCATGTGCTGCACCTCTGAGAAACATGAGTTAGCGGCATTCTTACAAACTTTTTGAGAAACTCTTCCCAGCCTAAGGCTAAAGATCCTAGTATACTTTAGAAAATGTTTTGTGACTAAGGTGTCCATCCATCTTTTACAAATATCTTGAACAAAACAGGGTCGTGGGGGAGCAGGAGACTATCCCAGAAAGAACAGGAGCAAGGCAGGATATACCCCAGATGGGACACCAGTCCATGGCACACACAGACACAAGCACACACATGCACCAGAGTCGATTTTCCCAGAATCCAATTAACCTACCTGTACATTTTTGGACTATGGGAGGAAACCGGAGTACCCAAAGGAAACCCACACTAACACAGGGAGAATATATAGACTCCAAGCAGATAGCACCCCAGGTCCAGAATTGAACCCAGGGCCCAAGTACTGTAAGGCAGCAATTCTAACCACTGTGCTACCATGCTACCCCTCAAAAAATGTCCCATCTATAAGCACAGGTGAAAGAAATGCGTACAGATGTCTATTTAATGGCCAATAACCTTTTATTTGCTTACATCTGCTTCCTTTTGTGCTAAGATCTGATATCCTTTTTCCTCTCAGGATATTCAAGCTGAGATTGATGCTCATAATGACATCTTCAAGAGCATTGATGGCAACAGACAGAAAATGGCCAAGGCGCTGGGCAGCTCCGAGGAGGCTGTGTTTCTGCAGCAGCGACTGGATGACATGAACCAGCGTTGGACTGAACTGAAGGCAAAGTCTGCCAATATCAGGTAAACCTACAGTGAACACTGGGAACTTCCTGTTCTACAGGTGCCCACTGACTTCCAAATGACCTCCCAGTACGAAATCCTTCCCAGTGAGGACAGCCAAACTGATGGGTAGACAATTGAAGTGAGACGCCACAATAAAAAATAAACGAACCCATTGGTCACAACACATAGGACTTAAAGACGTAAAAATGAGAGAGTGTTTTACCATACTATAATAATATTTTTCAGTTTGAAATTTTGTCTTGGTAAATAAATGTTTCCCCTAGATGCATTTAATTACATTAGCTTAGTTTTTCTTACATAGACACCATTGTATACAAATTACCATGTAATTACAATTATAGAGTACTGCTCCTGTTATATTTTTAGCATTTGTTGTCTAGTGCCCATTATATTGCATAATTAGAATAAATAGGTGCTGCTGAAAGGGGTTGTTAACCCCAACTCTCCAAGTTTTGTAACACCCATGTGCAAAATGTGCAGTTTCTGAGCCTGATCAACTAATATCCACATATACCTTCGATCTTATCCATTTAACCCTTTTGCACTCAATATATAATCACTTTTATTGTAGTTACATAAGGATAATTCTTTAAGCTAATGATCTACTAATCTAGAAATAGGTATGTTTTTATGTGTTGATTTTGTGTTTTTTTTTTATAGATAAGTAGTGAGTTGAATCCTTTGTATTACTATTGCTTATTATTTTCCAAATGATAATACAACAATGAAGGGGTTAATGAATAGTTTTTTTTTAATTGCATTTACTGTAACATTACAAAATGCTTTCATACCTCCAGCACTGAATTGCAGCTCCCACTTGAGGTTATATGTCAGCAAGCCCTGTGAAAAGATCAGACAGAGAAGCGAGAAAAGGCTTTACCAGCTGAATTACCAGTTGAACCTGAGAATAACCAGATTGCGGAAGCCCAAGGCAAGATTAGTCTGCGCACTGAGGTTCATACCTCTCCCCTTATAAAGAGTTTCTTGGGATTTTTAGTGATTAGATAGTTTGGACTTCAGTTTAACATCTCATCTGAAGGATGATACTTCCTCAAGCGCAGTAAATGGCAGTAGAAAGGATGCATTACAAACCAAAGGACAGGAAAATGCTCTTCAGATTGTGAAGAATAAGACTTTAAAAAAATACAAAATGCCAGTGAACAGCAACCTCCCTAGTTATGTCCAGTATGAGCCAACAGCTGTACAGTGTCTGAAACAGACAAAACCAGACCCTGCTGATGTTTTCCTAAAGCTCTACCCTCCATTCTTGAGAATTCAAATGTCTAACCTGTACTCTGTCCAAAAAAAGGAAAAGCCACTCAATTTGAATATGAACGAGCATCTTAACTTTTATGTAGTTCTTCTTACCTCTGGTTACAACATAGTACGATGAAGACACATGCTGTGGTCAGATGACGATGATGTCCAAAATGTAAGCATATGTAATGCCATATGTAGAAATCACTTTGATTAGGTTGTCTTCTATCCATTTAGTTGACAACACCATGGCCACTGATGACCCATTCTACAAAGTCAGGCCAGTTTTCACAGAGCTTAACAATTTCTACAAGATCTGGCCATTCAGTGAATGGCTTTCTGTTGGTGAAAGTATGATCCCTTACTATGTCATAATGGATACAAACTATTCATCAAAGGGAAACCCTTCCGTTATGGTTTCAAACTGGAGTCTTGCCTCATACACTGGTTATCTGTACCATATGGAGCCGTATGCTGGAACCTATACCCTCCTTCCAGAGACTGGATTAGGTCAGGAACCCAGTGCAGTTCTGGGTTTAGCTGAACAGGCTGCTGTTCCACCCGGTTGGAAACTCACACATGACAGCCTCTTCACATCACTGTCCCTTATAGATGAGATGACAAAACGTGGTTATGGGTGTACTGGCACAATGCGGCAGAATCGCTTGTACAATGCTCCCTTCAAACCTTTGAAAGATTTTGAAAAAATGCCAAGAGGATCAGCAGACATACTGACACAAAAAGAGAAACTCCTTGTAAGATGGAGTGACAACAATGTTACCGTGGCCACTAATATTTAGAGAAAGTATACAGAAGTACCTGTAAGACGTTGGAATAAGGAACAGAGAGCATACGACCACCTCCAGCATCCAGCAAGCATCCAGACCTATAACCAGCATATGGGAGGTCTTGATCTCTATGATCTACAGGTCTCCTGTTACCAAATCTCAATATGGCCCAAGAAGTGGCGGTGGCCCATGTTCTCCTGGTCCCTAAATTCTGCAGTGGTGAATAGCTGGATGCTCTACAGGGACCTTATAAACAGTGTTATTGAGGTTCTTTACTTTCAGCGCTCTGTAGCTCAGAGTATCCTAAGTTTGGGTCCAAACCAAAAGGTTGTGGAAGGCCATTCTCATTTTCCACCCCTGTGGTAGATTCCGCTAGCATGGATGGGATTGCACACTGGCCAGTGAACACAGGAAACCGCTTTCTTAGATGCCGTGTGATAGTTGCACTACTTGTGCATGTGAAAAGTGACAGACATCTTCATACTGAGTGCTTTTAGAAGTCTCATCATCACTAGATACAAATGCACTCAGTGAAATGCAGAAAATGCTCAGCTCATGGGAAATATTTTTTGGTGGACTTTTTTTTGTTTTGGTCTGTTTTCAAAACGGATTCTTTTAGATTTTTAGATTATATTTCTTTAGAATTTATTTAATTTATTATTCTTCTTATTATTTATTTCCTCTTATTATTTTTTACACTACACTTTAATGATTATTGTCACAGGTAGCATTTAAAAAAATCAACATTGTTTTTATTTAATTTGTTCCTTTAAATCTATATTTAGGCTTCTATTGTTTTGCAGAGGAAGTTATTTTAAGATTAATGACTTTGTAATTTGAAATAATTTGTTTTTCCACGTAATTGTCACATTTGTTTTAATCTGACATGATTTTCTACGGTTCGTTCAGTGTTTTAGAGTTATAATATGATAGGCAGATGGGTTTAAAATATATCACAAAATTGTGAGGTATATTAAGCTCAAAAGAATAATGTCAAGCTGCAAGGATGTTTTCTTGTTATGGCAATTCCAGGTCCTTGTTATTTGTTTAGCTCTTATGGTGGAGTCCCTGTATATTCCTGTTGGTCACAAAAATGTATATTTCACAAAGTTCCCCTTGCATTTTTCCAGAAATGTAAATGGGATGTTTAACATTGTACTCAATAAACAGAACTTTGTGTACTTGCATGTCTAGGAACAAATGGGTTAACAAAGTTCCAATTTACAGCAAATATTGTTGAATTTAGAATTTGATGGCACAGATTAGAATGGTATTGTCAGCACTTCAGAAACATATCATGGCTATGATGCTTGTTTAATGTTTAAGGAAGAGCTGAGACATTAAAATATTTACTTTTTACTTGGATTCCTTCTTGATTTAAAGTAACCGGATGTGTGATTAGATGCATGTGACTGTCTGGTGCAGGGCTCATCTGGAGGCCAGTGCGGAGAAATGGACCAGACTGCTCGCGCTGCTGGAAGAACTGTGGAGATGGCTCACTCTCAAAGACGAAGAGCTCACAAAGCAAATGCCAACTGGTGGAGACGTCCCCACCCTGCAGCAGCAGCACAGCCACTGCACGGTGAGTGTAAGACGCTGTATTTCCTGAAAGATTGCTGTATAGCTTGTTACAATTTTCCTTTTGTTTTGTACCGACCCACATGGTTTTCACATTCCGTCCAACCCAGCGCTAACAAGTGACATTCTCACTGTGTTTTCTGCTTTTGGCTGTTAGATATATAAAACAAAAGCACAAAAAACACTGTATTTGGATGTAATTTATTTGCTTTGATTAATGCCTTCAAAAAAAAAAATCCTCTTGCTTTAATTTGTTGTGAATATTTACATGCATCCCTTTTTTATCTGTAAGGTGCAGTGAGCTGCTGTTCGTGTTCCTGTTTCATGGTTTATGTTTCCTCTCCTAGAACTGTCTGAGGTTTTAAAACAAGCGCCTGTTTATACAAAAAATGAAGGCTTCAAGAAAATTCTTAATCTGTATATTAAGGAACGAAGTTGTTAAATTAAAAAAGTGAGTGCTTTTTTAGTTTAACAAAATTAAAACCCAATTCACTAAATTTCTACCCCTTTAACTGTCAAAAAACAATGAATGGTTGTACTGCATGAGATTTATATGCAAGTGGTTCATAAAATAATGAATATGTTCAGCAACAAAAATCTGCAGTTTTTATGGAGCATTTCCCTGTTTTTCTTAGTGAAACAGAACCAGTAGCACATAAAGTCTGGGTTTCAGCAGAAATGTCTCGGGTTTTACAATGTTTAAAGGATAGGAACACAAATTGTTCAAATGTCAGCAACGCAGGAGGAAAAAGGAAATTTGAAGAATGAGACCTTTGATTATCATACTTTAAACAGAAAATAAACTCAGTATGAACTCAGACAATAAAGGAAATGTGTGTTTAGCTGCCTTTCTGCTGTTCCCAGTTCTCAGAACAGAACATCCAGGTTAGCACAGAATCTGCGTTTTGTTAATTGCTTTTGGGAATTGTGACACTAAACTGGCTGTATGCTGCTGGGATCCAGTGAAGCAGGGTGAGCCAAGGACCCCTTAGCTGGGTGGTGTGGATACAATACGAAAAAAACAAGACCTGATAATAGAGGTCGTACTTTTCTTTTGTTTACTTTATTAAGATTGGTTTGTATGTTGCGAAAACAATGTATATCATATTATATTTTCAAATATATCCTTAGACATTTCATTCTGTGCAAATATGTCCTTATCATCTTAAGCTATTGTTAATCTATTCCTTAATGTATTAAATATGTTTTTTTTCCTGAAGAGATCCTAAGTAGAAAGTGCCTCTGGGGGCTTTTTTTCCTGTGGAAGTCATCAGTAGAATATTAATTATAATTATTTTCTAATGTTTATAGAATACATCATAGTAATATGGTAATTCATACACAAGAGGCATTCTAAGTCTTGTCACATCCAAGCAATGACCATTTGGAAGAATGGAAAGGCAAAAAGAGCAAATGCCATTATTTTTTTTTCCAGTAAATTATTACCTGGATACTCATGTAAACAACATAGGAATATTTGTGTTCACTGCAAACTTACTGGGAGATAAACCTGCCACAATAAGTAATTTAATTGGGTGAGATACTTTGTGCATTCTGCCTAGAGAATGAGTGCAGTGAATCGTTGCCTATTGATCCTCCTGACTATTGACATGTCTTTATCCCAGCTGGAACCTGACACCATGCTTCTGCTTCACATGCCAGACAGGGTTGTACCAAGAGGGTTTTGAAACACATTTCTCCGTCTGTGCCCATTTTTCATTTTATTGTCATGTCCCATACGAGCAGGATGCACACAGATGTGATTCCAAGTACACCAAAAAAAATTAGCTGAGTGATATGAAATATAACATTTTTCCTCTTACTTTTACCTGAAATGCATCTAAGTGATGGAAAAACATAAGCTTCTCTCATCCTTCCATAGCTGTACCTTAGGTACAATAAATTTAGATATCTGCCTTTCACCAAAGGGCCATGTTTGAAACCTTACTCTTTATAAAATGTCAGAATTCAATGCAAATTACTAAGTCAACCCATTTCAGAGCTAAGAAACCCCTTTTCTCCTTTTAATAACATTTTTCATGATATCCAGTCTCTTAACAGTATTAGAATGAAAACAAATTGCCACCTCTTGTAATTCTTTCCACATAGCTAGTAACCTCAGTCATGTTTTAGTTTATGGAAAATAATTGTAAAATTACACTTTATAAATGGATAATACAGCTGTTAAATAGTTAACTAAGCAATCCTGGTACTGGACAGTACTGTGGTGACAAACCTCCAGTTCAAATCCAGTTACTGCTGCAAATTATGTTCATGGACTAGTAGGTGACACTCTACCTCAGTCGATCTTTGCCCCACTATGCTGAACAAGGACACTGTTCAGTAGGACGTTGTCTTTTGGATGAGATGTTAAACCAAAGTCCTGACTAAATGGTCATCCAAAATCCTGTAGCACGTTCTGAAAGAGTTGGCGTGTTAACCTCAGTCTCTGGCTAATTTGCATTCTGGGCTTGTACTGTCTGGCCTCTATATTTCTCTCTTAGCTCAACTAAAGTAATTTCACAAGATTTCGGATCATCTTGGAGATGTGAACCTAATCATTTATTGTTCTTGTTGATAACATGAGGTTAGGAGTGTTGTTCAGTGATAGAATGTCTGTTGGTTTCCATCACATTCATGTCAATATTTGTATTTTTAAATTATACATTCAATTTACAAAACATTTTTCAGACTAGAATTAGCAACATGTAATCAAAATTGTTAACGTGTCTTCAGCAAGTGCTTCATATGCTGAAAAAGAATAATCAGTTTGTTGGAATATGGAGATTAATTAGAAAACTAATAAATACATTTGTCAAACTGTAAATGTTTTCTTAAAATGATATAGAATGCAATTCAAACCAATTGCATGTTTATAATACATCTCTACAAAAGAATATGTATACAATAGATACATATTTTCAAAGAACTTTATAATGACTTAATTCTTAGCATTTAGACAAGAAACTAGTATGTGTGCGGCTAGTTAGTATCCATATTAATTTACATAGAAAAGGGAAAGTGTTAGGAAGCTTTAATATAGAAGATACAGATTTTTCAATGTTTCTTTTTCATCACAGTTTACAATGCAATGCATAATCAATTAAGTTTAGTGTCATTTTGTTAACATATCAAAAAGCACAGTTTAATTGGATTTTCCATTGAGTCCAGGGTCGAGCTGTCTTGAGACCTTGTATTTAATGCTAAATTATACCTGTGGTCAATAAGGTCACTCAATGGAAAATTCAAATGACTTTGGTGAACATTGAAAGCATTCAGATAGCATATCAAATCAAATGTGAGAGGGAAAAAGACAGGCCGATAGGAGTTGACTTTGGTTGCCGGAGTATCATTTGAAAGGTGTGCTTTATCTTTGTCTTCTCCATCAGCTTTCTAGTCAAGAAGAATTCTCCCTAGAGCTTATATTATACATAAATAATGTAGTTAATAATTCCTGGTAGAATTTGATGAATCACAAAAAACTAACGATGATGTTTGCCAACTGTATATTGGTTACAGCTATAGGTTATCATTTCATAGATCACTCTTTTGATTTATTTTATTTTTTGTCATCTCTTTTTCAGATCTGCTTATGCCTGTCTCATTAAATCACAGCAGTACTTTTCTTTGTATATTATTTTTTTCCCCACTACAAGTTTTGTTTTCCTTCGTGTGTGCAGTGTTAAAAGATTTGGGTAATGCTTAACTTGAATGTAATTAAATACATTGTCTTAATTCTTTCATAAACACTACACAAAAAGCAAATAGTAAAATAAACACATAAACACATAATCACTCTTACTGAGTTGCATCTGCAGAACGTCCTTGTCAGCTCTAAAGTCTTGGAGTCTCCCATCATTTTCACATTGTGCAGATGCAGGCAGGCACCTGGAACTCTGCACCTAGCTTTCAGCTGAAAGTTTGACTTCTACTGAACTGGAAAAAAATATTCTGTGCATGTGGAGTCATTTGCACAAATACTTGTTTTAAACCTTTTTCATGTAGAGTGTTACGAAGATTTATAATTGGTAAGGTTAGAAGTTGGTTGTCTAGTCAGAAAGCACAGTACAAAGATGATATCAAATTGATTTTTAGATTATTAACTTAATTAAGATGAACTGTGTGATCCAAGTCTTTGGTTGATATGTCTTATTTTTTCTCAATCCTGTTAATATAGAGAGTAATCATCTTCTATTTTTTTGTGATTTCTTTGTACTTTCAAGAAGCCAATACAGAATGTTGGTCTTGACAGAGCTGAAAAGAACTGAAATTTGGACTGTTTGATTTGAATGCCACTTAAAAAAGTTTTTTAATTAGAACAGGAATAATTTATTCTAGTCCTCGAGATTACTGAATTTGCATTAATGCATGCATTCTTAAGACTTTCAGTTAGTTATCCGTGTGCATACACTTGCCATTTCTGCTCCATGATAATGCAGAATTTTCAACATTCACAAAAGAAATAATCAATATACCTGATAAATACCCACTATTTATTTATTTTCAAGTTGTCAATATTTAAAGTGCTCATTTATCATCAGTTACTTTGCAGATAAAAAATGTGTAGTAGTCTGCAATAATTGCTGGTCTCCAGCACATGCAGAGGCAACACGCCAATACTTCTTTTTAAAATGTAAAAGTTTAATGATTTTCTTTTTTTCATTTACCAGTATACAGTTAAAAAACATTATTTATTCTTTTTAGATATTTGATAAGCCTTTTTTTATTTTTTATTAGATATGCTATTCACCTTGATTGTTAATGTTAAAACCTGTTCTGAAACATTTGTAAGCCTCATTCCCACCTGTGTATGCAAATCATTAATGAATAAGAGTGGTTTTGAAAGCTGGGATAATAACCATTTCAAACCAAATTGAAGTTTTTCTGCTCACTTTTTGGGAAATTACACATGTAAAGGAGATTTGTGAGTGTGGTGTTAAAATAAATCAGTATGTTCAATTAATGGGCCAATAAGATTTATTAAATAAAAACTCAGTTTGAATA